GTGTACATTAATGAGGAAAAAAAATTAACTTAAATGATTTTAGCAAATGGCTGCAATATAACAAAGAGTGAAAAATTTAAGGGGGTCTGAATACTTTCCGTACCCACTGTATATATATATATACATACACTGTGTGATTTGGGCCAAGACTGTGTCAGCCTCGACACGAGGATGCACTGTTTTTGTTCAAATCAAAGCAGAACACACAAATCAAAACACACGTAGAAAACTTATCCTTGTAGAGCGGCTGACACAGAAGAGCGTACATAGTTTGCGTCCTGCGGATATTATCCAAAATGGCGCTACGGTAACGCGAAGACACAGAGCAGGTAAATTATTGAATATAGTCATTATTTTAATTTTCTTTGTGTACAAAAAGTATTCTCGTCGCTTCATAAGATTCAGATTGGACCACTGACGGCAGATGGACTATTCTGATCATTTCTTTCATACTTTTCTGGACCTTGACAGTGTAATTTACTTGGCAGTCAATGGGACAGTCACGAGCCTCCCACTTTTCATCTAAAATATCATAAATTGTGTTTCGAGGACGAACAAAGCTTTCACGGGTTTGGAATGACATGGGGGTAAGTGATTAGTGTCAAAATTTTCATTTTAACCCTTTAAGAGCATTTCTGAGAAGTTTTATACATACAGGCTCTTGATAACATTAATGTTCTTCAGCTTCGTGAATGAAGAATAAAGACCAACCTGTTGTTCTTCAGTATCTTCAGTGTGTTTGATTCTGCAGGGTTCTGGATCTCTCATCTTCTCTCTGTCCTCTTTAATAAACTCAGTCTTTGCAGATCTTTTTTATGCTCAAACAGCAACATTACAGACTAACTAAAGTTGAAAAAGTGAAAAAGCATAATAGGACCCCTTTATTATTGACCTCAGACGATCAAAACTCATTCAACAAGATATTCAGATCATCAGCAGATCATCTGAATATCAGATCTTTATTCTGATTGTTTGCTGATAGAAACTGATTATATGAGTCAGGATGTATGCTAAAAGCCTATTAAACTGCTCTATGGAAAGGCAATACTATTATATTGTCATATTTTCTCATAATATGCATTGCATGGATAAAACATCAGCAATACAAAAACAAACACTACTCGTCTTCATCAACTACTACAGCTAAATAACTACAGCAACATAATATGTCTATGTGAATCTAAATATAGTCTGATTTTATGATAACTACACTAAAAATGCTGGGTTATATGAGTTATGCCTGTTGGGTCATTATGTTGGGTTATTTTTCCAGTGTTGGGTAGTTTTTGTGTAACCCAGCTGTTGGGTTAGTGGGTGGCTGCTCGCACTTATCCCCTAAACCAGGGGTCTGCAACCTTCAATGTCAAAAGAGACATTTTGGCCCATTTCCCACCAAATACTGTTCACAACAACGATGAAATGATGAATGTAGGGTCTGATTGGACACCTCTGATTGGCTACTGCATACATAAGCTCAACAGAATCGTTTGTGATTGGTTATAATGCGCAATGCTGTAAAAAAAAAAGAAATATGAAGCAGCATGAGCAGACATAAATTTAATGCCACAATTGACACGTTTCATTTAATTTTCACTTTATTATGCGTCACAAAAGAAAATAAAGAGGGGAAATGTGCAAAAGATCACTCATCTTACTAAAAAAGTCTAATATTATCACTAATGTTATGGTGTTTTGCTTGCCCGTTATTACACATAGTACAACAACAATCAATTTCTGTCCAACTTCAAAAAGAAAAACAAATGAAATTTTTT